TTACGACACACCGAACCTCGAATGGAAGTTCCTGCTGCATCTGAGAAAGTGCTGCTTCGAGACCCTTACGCTCTACTGACCCCGCAGCATAGTTTCGCTGTCGCCGAAATGAGTCAGGATGAGAAGGATTATCGGAGTGACTCGTGAAGTTCACATAGACTCACCATAAGCTCATTTTCGATTGCAGGTGCCTTGAATGTAACGAGCTGTGGTGTAGGGCATCTTGGAGACAAAGTCGTTGAGATGGTAGATCCGAGAGAGTTGCCCAGAGCTTTATGTAATATTAGGCCGAGCAGCAGCGTAGCCAGACTGGCCAGCCGTTAACGTTTATTTATAGTATCTTTGATTTTCGCAAGTCGCGAGGAACCGAACTAAAAGTAGTGATCACAAAGGCATCGAGGCGCATTCCAAGGAATATATCACAGCCATTGTTTCTGAATACGGGCTCTGTCATGAATATTAAAGATAATACAACATGCATCCGCTGATGTGGTACCTAAAATCATACGAGCTTCTTTCAACCAACTGTCACAAACTTCTTCCCTACACCATCGTCCTGTAGCTGCACCTTCACGCGCTCGTTGGCTGTGATCCCAATATCATCAAAACCTTGGAGTCTCAGACTCCCATCAGCGGGTGCCACGGTAGACGCCTTCCCTGCCTCGGCGGATGCCATAATGAGGTGCAGGGGGTTTGACGGATCGAAGGTGGTCCTATAGCCGCTGTTCCTTTTCCGAGCCTGCAAGAAACTATACAAAGCGGAGGCAAACATGAGGATGGTGATGACGGTGAAGGGAAGGATAGAGATAAAATATGTCCCTGACCGCCGAGTCCAGCCTATCGTCGATATGTACATGGTCCCATTGACTAGGGAGGAAAGGTTGTTTGGGACAATATCGTCGGGGAAGCTGCCCACAACCATAAACCCGGAGCGAAGGAACTGCCAAGCGATGCTAAGTTAATTAAGATTGAACCCAAGGGATCAGAATCTTCACCGTGGCAGAAAATTCAACAATGCCACGCCAATACTCCTCCTAAGAAAGGCATAAACTTAAGGCGGGAAAAGACCTTGCCACATGAAACTCACCAGCTCTGTATAAACCTGCGTCTGATTTCCAGTATTGTCATTGATAGATGTGTTAGTTGTTGAGGAATAGATGGAGTACAGAGTATCTCCGATCGTACTGCTAAGAAGCCCCTGCGAGTAGGTACACTTAAACGCGATAGCTCCAGCTAAGAATGACAGTAGCTGTTCATTCTCTGGTCGGAAAGGGGTGGATGAAACGACCTCGGAAGAAATTAGGCCATTGGAATAATCGGCGCGGACCGTGGTTAGCATTGGGACCACTTCGCATACACTTGCGTCAAGGAACCTATACTTGTAAAATCCTTGTGTAAGAATCGCTATACGAAAAGAATTGGTTAATGATTATAAACGCATATTTCAATGGCTCACTGAGGCTCGTATAACTTTGATTCAGATCCAAAGGCCCCGGGCACACGAGGCAAGGAAGAAAGCCGCTGTCTAACGGGTCTGCATATCCACTTGCATTCACCACGGTCACATATTCCTGTATCGTGGGCATACCTAGAAGCTGACAGTAAATCAGAGGCAAGATATATACGGTCGGAACTCACTGGCACCGCAGTTTGCAGTTATATTCCACAGGCGAAGACCGGTGATGGAGGTGTACAAATTATCTGGGTTGGAATAGATGACGGAGGAGTTACTCGTGTCCCAAACGTACTGCGTTTGACTCGAGCTAATGGGCTGACAGCTGACATTGGCTGTTAACCCCTGCTGCCACATGGAATAGTTCCTACTGAATCCTTGAGGAATAGACACGCTGTTATGTTTTCCCGGCAGCGATACTGTGTCGACTGTGACCTTTCCACCAGTAAACCCAAGACGAATGCCATCGGGACCCGGAATTCCATGCGAGCCGGAATAACTCTCGATGGTGGGCACAATCCCCTCTAGGTATACAACACGCCATCACAAAACAGCTTCAGGTGACCTGAGAATCTGAACCTACGAGTAGACACGTCATATTTTGCGCCATTGAAATTAAATATCCCGGGAAGACCAAAGGTATACCCTGCAGCAGAGACTCCGCTTAGCGTTCCGCCGACGTCGAGAATCGCGAAAGAATTGTCCTGGACTTGGGTCGTTCGTTTTAGTAGAAGAAACGGACGAAACACTGGGAATGTGGAGATACATACTGGCATTGACACCCTCCTTTTGAAATTCTTCATAGAGCAAGTTGGAAAATGCGGTACCAGTAATGTCAAGTTCGGATCCTTGCATCTGAATTGGCCATAGGAAGTAGGTTGGTGTCAGGAGAGTTATCCACCTAATACGCACTTAAATTAGAGAGCACAGCAATACTGGTATGATGCCGAGTTACCCAGCTGTCAAAAGTCTCAGCACACCAAAGATGAACAGCGTCAGAGTGGTGAGTCGCAAGTGTTCATGTCTCAATATGATGGAGCCCTTGGCCAAAGCGACACCGGCGCCTAGCTGAACGAGAGAGATGGGCTGCGTTATCCGATATCTCAAAGCCTCCTTGATTGAGATCGTGAAAAGACTGAAGGAATATTCATCTCTATTAGTGGTAAGCTGGAGAGAGTAAAGAGGTATACACACGTAGTTGTAGTGACCGAAAGGACAGTTGCTATTAATGTGATCACTGTCGTCAACTCTTGGGGATGATGCTCCCATAAGCTGGCCGCTTGATCAGGCGGAGAGAGGTAATCGTAATAGAGAACTGCGCCAACAAAACCGTATCCACATGCCAGGATAATAACCTGGCTGCTGATGATGGCGGTATGTAATAGAAAGTTTGCGGACACAGACATCAGCGCGGGTGGTGCAGAATCGACCCTGGTCGAACCGCAGCTTAAGTTCAAAAAGAAGGGAAGGATTTGTTATAACCATTATTATATGACCCATGGGATGCAAGTACGTACGGGACGGCATCGCATCATGTGCATTGACTTTGTGCTGGATAACCCGATTAAAGATTACATGTGCAAATCAGATTTTTCTTCTATTTCAAGTTGTGGCGCAGTTGGCGCTGAAGGGTCTCGCTTATATCTTTGCTAGTCGAGCGCTAAACACCCTTGAATATTTGGCGCTTGTAGTGCCTCTCCCGTAGCTGCCATCGTTGTGTCTTTGTATTCCACAGGGGATAGTCGTTGTGATTATGATCTGCGCTGGTGATGCTGTGCAAAGCTAACGTTTTAACCAATTTAGTAACATTGTAGCCGTCACCTGCGGTCGTGTAGTAGTAGCGCCTGTACATGATATCCGGCGCTACCTATTTCTTCATTCGTTCATTCATTTCTCATGCAGTGTGGCAACGCAGTATATACTTGACCGTGCCCAGTTCTGAGATTCAGCTGAACCGTCTTTGACAGAGTCAATCGTTGAACGTACTTAGTCGTGTAAGCCTTAAAGCGAGCCTCAAGGGAAGTCCAAACAGCTCATTGTGACACGAGCGCATGATCTCGCAGATGCGGACGGACAACGAATTAAATAACATATGGGTCCGTATATACAATATATGTACTGCTGAATAATTTTTTTCCAAGTCACGCCTTTTGTTACATATGTGATGATGATTCAATGAAAAATTACAACATCCAGTTAACCGCGCAATGCAGCGCCTCTTGTTCAACGTTCGACACTAGCACTGTTGTAGGCAGTTGTCACGTCACCTGTATGGTGTTCCAAATTCGAAAATCCATCCGTTTAAGGCCCTTATTTCGCTTCAGGTGTGGAGCAGTGTTGATCGCAACGTGCAAACCAACAGGCAAGGCAGTTGGCAGATTTTGTAACAATATCATATCCGCACTCAAGTATTCAAGCACATCCCGAAACTCAGCACTCAGCAGCGGTGAGAGATCCAGAATTTCAGGTCCATGGAATGACATAGTTAGAGTGTCAACAATAAGGTTGACGGTGAGAGGCCTCATCAGAAGTTCATTCAAAACGTTCCCACACACCCTGCATCAATATAACTATCTAGCTGGCTCATCTTGCTTTCGCCCAATAATAACACAATTTTCAGAAAAGACACACCGCTTACGAAAATTCCTCAATGACCCTCTCAGCCTTCCATCTCTCGCCGATGCTGGCATGCCTCAGTGTGATCAACAGAACGTTGGAATCGGTTTTTACGATATTTACCAACCTGTTTGATCTATTGATAACACTAGTACTAAAGAAGCTTAGTGACAACTTGAAAGTGTGCACTAGCCAAATCAGATGCGCCTCGTTGACTGAGGGCGTTTCTGGACGTTTAACTTTCTGATCGGCGATGGGCCAGCCAGTGGCATGGTACCTTGTTACCATTCCGAATTTCCAAACTTTCTCCTTTCCTTCAAACGACTTTAAACCTAAAGAATTTACAGCCTGACGGCAACACCAGAACTCTCAGCAAGCACTGGTAATCTAAAAAATCCCTAGCTCTTGTCATTTTACAGTCATCTATCCAGATCATGTGGACTTGGTCGTGATACGGAATACCGATAGCCCAGTCGAGAGGGAATAATTGGCGGGGCCTTACTCAAATCGGGAGCCAGGTATGGACTGACCTCGACTCCCCGTCGTTCTCTATCAGCTCATATACCAGGCACGTTTCATCCAGCATTCTCGAGATGCACACCGCGATTGCCCAACGATATCTGACAATGTAGTAGGTGGTATAGATCCTGAGCTGCGTCGCCGTCAAAATGCCTTGTCAGATTAATCATTTCATCCACACCTCGAACTTATCAACTAGACCTTCACGGAAGTCGCATCTACGCACCTAACATGATTATAGGCAATGCGCTTGTTTGGGGTGAGACACATGAAAACCTGGCATACCTTGACAACTTGTATATGAAGGCTGAGTGACAAGCGATAAGCTGTTGGACAGGCCGGTTGTGGCAGAGATAAAATGGAGATCACTAAAGACGGGCATGAAGCGTTTGCTTCTGAATGAGGGGTTTTCAACGTCTATGTTTTGTTGAGCAGTGTGGTTGGTGAAGAAGTTGACGATGGTGTCGAGCAGAATGTCGAGCAGACGTGTCATGAGATCGTGCTGAGGAACGATGTGTGCAGGGCAATTAATGGGACAATGAAATGTTAAAGGACAGAATACCTTATGGATGTTTCTGCTTCGTGGGCAACCAGAAGATAAGTGTCAGCGACACGGTGGTAGGTGCTGGTAAAGTAGGATGCTGCAATAGTACGTCAAAATGTACTTTTGACAACGAGCAACGTTGTGGCATACCGGTGGCAATTTTATGGGAAGGCGAAAATCTCAAGATCGACGCACAAATTACTTTCAAATGTATCCGGGCCTTCTTCCATAGTCGAGTTACGAGTATGATAGACGAATAACCAATCAATACGGCATGGATGCGCCAGATCTGCAGTGAGGTTTGGGATTTGCGGACCAGAAGTGATGTACAGGGTATAGCGAAGTTGTGAAAGAGCATCTGATGGTCTGTCATCAGTGAACCGTTGACGGTATTGAAATACAAATCTGGAGGGGGGGGTCTACATTGAAATATTTGACCATAAACTCGAGGCGGTCGCGCTGATGGATGAGAACGAAGCAAGGACAGCAGCCGCAGAACGAGTCGACGAGGATCTTCGGCCTCTACCGGCGGTAGGTCACCGACCAGGAGGCCAAGGGAGACGATTCACGCAGCAATGAGGACGAGGGCTTCGCCCACGTGCAGGCATCCCGAAGGGCTCGCAGACAATTTCGACTCATTCGAGGCAAATCCATGTGCGATCTCGCTGTCTCTCGCGCTGTCCACAGCGAGAGCGATCTGGGCAGTTCTAACTTCTGGGGATCTGGATCGAAGCAAGAAAGACGGCGTTTGCCGAGAGTCACCTGTCACTGATGTCGCACTCCTTGCAGGAAAAAATTAGGTTTGTCAAGCTTAAGGGCAACTTAAGGGCAGTGACATCTAGGCAGTGCGGCTTCGCAATATGCGAATTCTTAGAAAACTGTGGAATGCTTTGCTCTTCTTCAGCCTCACAGCCGCTTACAACGTGCCTCTGTTGTACAAAACTGATGCCCAAGGCTGTAATTTGGGCTCGATATTTTGCGAGTTGCTTCTATCCTGTTGAGAGTCGGTGCTGCACGGTGTGCACGTGGATGCCATATGCATGCTGTAATTCCCTCACTTATAATCCATTAAAACTTCACAGATTCTGCAGTATTTTCTTGACCTCCAGCACACATCTTGTTCTCAAGTGTTGGCTTGAATCCGTCCCTCAGTCATATGTCAACATTTGTCCCTGGCCATTTCAACGACCACCTTCCACCCTTGGGAGAGGGCCCGAGCCACCCAGAACGAACCCAGGGCACAGGACTCGTGATCAGTGAAACGCTGCAAGTTGTCGTCAATAGTATATGTCACATCTATCTTCATTTAGCACGTACTGATGATTTTCCAAAGCATTTTTGGCGACACTTTATTTCGTCATTAATCTCTTGTTTGTTTTTGCGACAGACACCATGCCAGACCCGCTCAATGATACCCTCCAAGCCTTAGGTGAGGAGCCAGGCCAACTAGAACAACCCCAGGATCCGGGAGAGACAAACCTCGTGATCAGTGAAATGCTACAAGTCGCCATTAACAGTATGTGTCATCTACCTTCATTCAGCGCGTGGTACCATGAAACCCTCCCAGCTTCGGGTGAGGAGTCTAGCCACCCAGAACACACCCAGGACCCGGGAGAGATGCACCTCAGTGGTGTGCAACAAGTCATCATTACTGGTGTGTAATATCAATCTCCGTTTAGCACATAATAACAATATTCAAGCCATTCGCGCAACTGATCTCGCTCTTGGTCTCCGACGGATCCCCGCTGGCTTCCATGCGGTGGTCAAGGCTGGCAGTGCCGAATACCAGACAAGGAATAAGTCTGTATACGTAGACCAGGCTTTCGTCGAATGGCACGAGCGCATTCTTCTGTAAGTTATCCTTAACCCTGTCTGTCCTGCAGGTATTGAGAAAGACTCTAGGCCGTGCGAGCCTTCTTCTAAAGTTCAGGTCAGCGTGTATGCCTCATTTGAACTCGGTCTCATGCTCTGTCACGGAGAACTCCTTTGCACATTCGAGATCTCTGTCGGAGAATTACTGGATCGCAGCGAAAAATCGCATCGTCAGTATTGTCTATTGCGAATAATATTTAACAGATGCTAACGAGTATCACAGCCATAATCTTTCAGCCAATGCAGGAGGAAGTTGTATCCGCTTGTACTTCACTATTCATGACAGTGGAGCAGCGACTGGCTGATGAAAACGACACCAGAGTTCTTTGCCCCCTTACTACTGTGAGTGATCAATGCAGTCTAGCATTCTGATGCTGAGAGCTCTAACGTGTAGCTTACATCCCACGATATGGACGCGTTAGCGCTAAAGATGAACGCCGGACATCGTCTTCTCGCACAATACCGCAGGATGCAGAACAGTAGGGATCTCGACCAATCCATAAGCCACTTTGAATGTGCCTCGGATCTCTGCCCCTTGGATCATCCCTATCGCCCTGCAGTGCTATTCAATCTAGCCACTGCAAAGTTTGTTAGTTTCCGAGCTAACGGGACACACCTCGACCTCGACACATCTATCTCTCTTTTCCAAGGCAGTCTTGATTTGCGTTCCACTGATCATCCGGACCGAACCGTCACGCAACTCCACCTTGCCATTTCTCTGTTGTCTCGCTTCGCAAAACGGGGATTTCAGACGGATGCTAATGCAGCTGAAGAGTTACTGAGCGAAGTGCTCGATGTCTGTCACGCCAACAGCCACATTTACAGAGCAGCTTTGATCGCAATCGAAACATTTGCTCTGCATTCTGCTGGAAGCATTGATGCAAATGATCTTGGGCAGGAGCAGCCCGCCACATCCCTATTTCCGTTATCACCGCATCAACTTGCTGATCGAGCAGGGCGGTGTTTGCAGAGAGATGAACCACATGCCTTAGATGAAGTGATATCCCTTCATTATGATGCACTGGGATACTACAACACCGGGCATGCTCACCGAGGGGGATTGTTGGGTAATTTGGCTATAATGCTGCGGACTCGCTTTAAGTGTCGAGGCAATGACAAAGACTTGGATCAGGCTATCGTACTTCTCAGGGAAGCGCTGGCCTTACGCCCGGTCGGTCACCCAGATCGATCCATGTCATTAAATAATCTTGCGAATCAACTCTCCACCCGCTTTGACCACCGAGGCAATGACGAAGACTTGGATCAGGCTATCGAACTTCACAGGGAAGCACTGTCCTTGCACCCGGTCGGTCACACACATCGGTCCACCTCATTAAATAACCTCGCAGTTCGACTCTCCGTGCGCTTTGAGCACCGAGGCAACGACGAAGACTTGGATCAGGCTATTACACTTCACAAGGAAGTGCTGGCCTTGCACCCGGTCGGTCACAAAGATCGGTTCATGTCATTAAATAATCTTGCGAATCAACTCTCCACCCGCTTTGAGCACCGAGGCAATGACGAAGACTTGGATCAGGCTATCGAACTTCACAGGGAAGTGCTGGCCTTGCACCCGGTCGGTCACACAGATCAGTACAAGTTTTTGCATAACCTTGCCAATCACCTTTCCATCCGCTTTGAGCACCGAGGCAATGACGAAGACTTGGATCAGGCTATCGCACTTCAGAGAGAAGCGCTGTCCTTACTCCCGGTCGGTCACACAGATCGGTCTAGGTTATTAAATAACCTTGCAAGTAAACTGTCCACCCGCTTTGAGCACCGAAGCAAAGACGAAGACTCAGATCAGGCTATCGCACTTTACAAGGAAACGCTGATCTTGCACCCGGTTGGTCACACAGATCGGTCCATGTCATTAAACAACCTTGCGGTCGAACTCTCCGGTCGCTTTAAGTACCGAGGCAATGACGAAGACTTGGATCAGGCTATCGCACTTCAGAGAGAAGCGTTGGCCTTACACCCGGTCGGTCACACAGATCGGTACAAGTCATTAAGTAACCTTGCGGATCAACTCTCTACCTGCTTTAAGCACCGAGGCAACGACGAAGACTTGGATCAGGCTATTGCACTTCAGAGGGAAGCGTTGGCCTCGCACCCGATCGGTCACATAAATGGGTACAGGTCATTAAAGTACCTCGCGAATCGACTCTCCACCCGCTTTGAGCACCGACACAACAAAGAAGACCTAGACGAGTCACTAGAGAACTTGCGATGTGCATTGACTCTGTTGACGCAACATGATCCTCGTCAGATAGCAGTCCATAAGTCGCTAGCTGATGTCTATCTGTCATTCCATCATTCAGGGCTTGACGTTACCACCGTGGGTGAAGGTATAGACAATCTCAACGCTGCTATGCATCATCTCCAGGCAGCAGCAAATGTTGTCTCTGGAGGCTTGCTATCCCGCCTGCAAGCTAGTTTAACCTGGGTGCACCATGCTAGTCGACATTCACATGCCACTGAACTAGAGGCATATGCAACTTCCATGCAACTTCTGGACGCTTATATGTCTATGACAGCTTCAGTATCGTCTCGTCATAGGGCCATGAAGGACTTCACACGTACACTTGCCGTGGATGCTGCTTCATGTGCTCTTCATAGTGGTGATGTGTGTCGTGCTGTTGAGTTGTTGGAGCAAGGCAGGACTGTCATCTGGACTCAGGTGACACGATTTCGCACGCCCCTTGATAGCCTCCAGACAAGCGGCAACCACGCAGCGGCCCTGGTGAAGAAATTCCAAAACCTCAGCTCTCTCCTCGATACACCTCCTACGGACGATCCAAAAGCAGCCTCAAGAGTCGATGTAGAAGCAGAAGAAGCTCGGTATAGACGTCTGGTGGAGAACTGGAATAGAGCTGTAGAAGAGATCCGGAAGATCGAGGGCTTCTCTCGCTTCCTCCTTCCCCCCTTATTCTCTGATCTTCTGGATGCAGCTCGTGATGGGCCTATCATCATGCTCATCGCAAGCAATTCGTCTTGCCACGCCATTATCATCCTGCACAAACATTCTCCGATTAGCATCCAACTTCCTACCGATTTTTCCAAACTCACCAAATTGGTACTTGCATTCCGAGAAGCGGTTAGAAAAGAGGCCGGGCCTAAAGGGAACCAACCAGCGCTGATAAAAGCTTTGAGAGAGTTGTGGAACGACATAGTATGCCCAGTGGTCGAGAATCTAGACGAATTTGCGCAACGAGGTTCCCGAATATGGTGGTGCCCAACGTCCCTCTTCAGTTTCTTACCGCTGCATGCTGCTGGAGAGTACAGGGCAAGGGGAAAGTCCCTTTCGCAGCAATATGTCTCTTCATACACACCATCGCTCACTGCGCTAATGAAGGCTCGCGGAAGTTATGACAGGTCCCCGTCAGTGCCCTTTGTTGCCATCGGTCAGGATTGCCCAGCCGGTGCCGAATTCATTTTGGATGCTGTGGAGTTTGAGCTGGAATTGGTGCGGGGACTTTTGCCCCCTCCCCCAACTGTTTCCTTCTCCAAGATTACCAGCATTGATGCCACGAAATCGAGAGCATTGTGTGCATTGCGAGATAATACTTGGCTTCATTTTGCGTGTCACGGGAAACAGGAACACAAAGAACCCTTCAAGTCAGCCTTTCTCATGCGCGACGAACCGCTTTCACTTCTCGATATCACACAAACGGATCTGTCTCGGCATCAATTTGCATTTCTTTCTGCCTGTGAAACTGCAGTCGGTGACCATGATACTCCTGACGAAGTGATGCACCTAGCGGCTGGCCTGCAATTCGCCGGAGTTAAGAGTGTCGTCGGGACATCATGGAAAGTTAATGATAGTACTGTGCAGCGCTTAGTTGAGGCCTTCTACAGAAACTTTTGCGGGGATGGCACGATGAATTCCAAACGAGCTGCTCGAGCGCTGCACCGAGCGGTCCAGTCGTTGGCTTGCGACACGGACATGCCCTTGGACCAGCGCATAGTCTTTGTGCATATTGGCATATGATCAATTATGTGCGTCCCCCCACCTTGTTGAGTCAAGCATTCTTGAAATAATCTGACTTCGCATGTAGCATCCAGTCATGGTCACGCGCAACCTGTTACCAAGGACTTCGATATTCCAGACTTGAGACTGTATACGTACACGATATGTACACCCAATTTGACTTCAATTCGTATTTTCTACTTTGTTGCCTCGCCGGAGCCAGAGGTGCCGGTGATCGCCCTTGCAGTGCACAGTGATCATTTGTTGAGCTGGTGTGCTTCCTCCCGCTCCCGCATGTGCAATGTGCAGCTGGGTTCTAGAGGTAATATTCACTCATAAGCACAGTGACCTTAAATGTGCCGAACTGTGGTGTAGAGCATCTTGGAGACGAAGTCGTTGAAATAGATCCGAGAGAATTACCCAGAGCTTTAATATCTGCCGGTCGATGCACGTTCATTAAAGTTAGTGTACGTTCAGCTGTGAACTTTCTCATGGATGCAAGTGAACTGAACGCCTTCAATTCCAGAACTTCCAAATCCTAAAATCTGTCCGTTTGAGGCCCCTATTTCGCTTCAGGTGTGGAGCAGTGTTGATCGGAACGTGCAAACCAACAGGTATAAGGCAGTTGGCAGATTTTGTAACAATATCCGCAAGTACTCAGCAGCGGTGAGAGATCCAGAATTTCAGGTCCATGGAATGACATAGTTAGAGACTTAGAGTATCAAAAATAAGGTTGACGGTGAGAGGCCTCATCAGAAGTTTATTCAAAACGTTACCACACCCTGGATATTTTCAGCATGCCTCTGTGTGATCAACAGAACGTTGGAACTGGTTTTTACGATATTTTCCAACCTGTTTGATTTATTGATAACACTAGTACTAAAGAAGCTTAGTAACAACTTAAAAGTGTGCACTAGCCAAATCAGATGCGCCTCGTTGAGGGCGTTTCTGGACGTTTAACTTTCTGATCGGTGATGGGCCAGCCAGTGACATGGTACCTTGTTACCATTCTGAGTTTTCGAACTTTCTCCGTTCCTTCAAATGACTTTAAACTTACAGCCTGACAGCAACACCACAACCCTCAGCATACAGTCATCTATCCGGACTATGTCGACTGGGTCATGATACGGAATATCGATAGCCCAGTCGAGAAGGAATGATTAACGGGGCGTTACTCAATCCGACTTTCATCAAATCGGGAGCCAAGTATGGACTACGGACCTCGACTCCGCCGTCCTCTATCAGCTCAGATACCAGGCACTTTTCATCCAGCATTCTCAAGATACACACCGTGATTGCCCAACGATATCTGACAATGTAGTAGTATAGATCCTGAGATGCGTCGCCGTCAAAATGCCTTGTCAGATTAATCATTTCATCCACACCTCGAACTTATCAACTAGACGGAAGTCGCATCTACGCACCTAACATGATTATAGGCAATGCGCTTGTTTGGGTTGAAACCTGGCATACCTTGACAACTTACGCATGAAAGTTGGGTGACGAGCGATGGGTTGTTGAACAGGCCGGTTGTGGCAGAGATAACGGAAATCGCTAAAGACAGACATGAAGCATTTGCTTCTGAATGAGGGGCTTTCAACGTCTATGTTTTGTTGAGCAGGAGAGGATGTGCTTGTCCGCACTGTGGTTAGTGAAGACGTTGACGATGATATCGAGCAGAATGTCGAGCAGACGTGTCATGAGATCGTGCTGAGAAACGATGTGCAGGGGCAATGGATGGTACAATGAAAAGTTAAAGGGCAAAATACCTTATGGATGTTTCTACTTCGTGGTAAACCAGAAGATAAGTGTCAGCGACACGCGGTAGGTGCTGGTAAAGTAGGATGCTGCAATAGGCAATAGTACGTCAAAATGTACTTTTGACAACGAGCAACGTTGTGGCATACCGATGGCAATCTTATGAGAAGGCGAAAGTGTCGAGCGCGACGCATGAATTACTTTCAAATGTATCCGGGCCTTCTTCCATAGTCGAGCTACGAGTATGATAGATGAATAACCAATCAATACGGCATGGATGCGCCAGATCTGCAGCGAGGTTTGGGATTTGCGGACCAGAAGTGAATCAAGTGATGTACATTCGTGAACTTGGCATATGATTGTTTCGAGGGTATAGCGGAGTTGTGAAAGAGCATCTGATGGTCTGTCATCAGTGAACCGCTGACGGGATTAAAATACAAATCTGGAGGGGGGGTCTACATTGAAATATTTGACCATAAACTCGAGGCAGTTGCGCCGACGGATGGGAACGAAGCAAGGACGGCAGCCACAGAACGAGTCGATGGGGATCTTCGGCCTCTACCGGTGGTAGGTAATTAGGAGGCCAAGGGAGGCGAACACACAAATGAGAATGATGACTCCACCCACGTGCAGGCATCCCGAAGGGCTCGCAGACGAGTTGGATTCATTCGAGGCGAATCCATGTGTGATCTTGCTGTCTCTCGCTGTCCACAACGAGAGGGATTGAGCTCTAGGAAGCAGGATCAGTAATCTTCCTTTCGCAGAGAAAAACATACGGCAGGAAACAGCCACAGCTGAGGATCAAGATGAACGGCGGCAACGGTTCTGGCCCGAGCAGTAGCGTAGCCAGCCAATTTAACGTTTATTATCGTTTATAGTAACTCGGCGGTATTCGATGATTATATAAACATCACTTCAAGCAAATTTGCTCGTCATCTAATCGTCGTCAACTTAATTAATGTGGAAGTCGCGCGCTGCACGCCAGGTGGCCCAGCGGCCACCTCAGAGGGCTAGCCGCATGAAACACGTCTTTTCCAATGCCCCTATCTACGACTCCATATTCCGCAATCTGAGTCCTCGCACCCTAGTGCGGTTGTCGCGCACATGCCACATGATACATGAAGCAGTAACTCGTTTTTGCCAGCGCGCATACAACATCAACCGACATCTGTCGCGTTATTTCCCAGATCCCCTTTCATTTCGCTCTCTCCAAGCGCGAACTGGTCTCATCATTTCAGGATCAAGTGCACTTCAATTTTTGGACCGTTCCTTCTACCCCGAGTCAGATCTCGATATCTACTGTCACCCTGGTCACGTTTACGAGGTGCTTGAGTGGATGGATAGCTTTGGGTACCGATTTGAACCACACAAATATCAAGAGGCAGGCTGGCGTACCCAGGTTTCAGCTGATTGGGATGGTACGGTGTCAAGAATGCGAGTCCCATGGCATTATTTGGAGGAGGAAGATCGCTTACGTTCGACGCGGTATTCTAACATCGCTGAAGTCTACACCTTCAAGCGGCTTGTAGTTATAGACGAAGAGTGTGTAGAGCTCCAGGTTCAAGTGATTGAAGCGATCAACAACCCTATCGATACTATCATGAAATATCACTCAAGTGTGTTCAAACTGATCCCTTTCTTTTATATGAACTTTAATTCTCTCGGTTACAGCTTGTGTCATGAATATCATTACTTTCGATGCGGCGTATTCATTCTACCCAATCGCAACATTTGAGGACCGAAGCGCACTCAAAATTCCCGGATCGAGGCACCGCCCAGATGTTCTTGCAAAGTATATCAAGAGAGGTTGGAGAGTCTATTCACTATTCAGGCCCGGGGATCTCGCGCGGCCCCATGAATCTCCATTCCTCCCGAACATCACGCGATGGGTCGGTGATCGTCACTGTTGGACCGTTCCACTAGATACATCAGGAGTCGAGCTCCGTAGAGCGTTGTCTCCGCCCTCAGAACAATTTTCATGGGATCCCTCCACCCAGAGCGGCTGGACGTTGTTGACCAAACCATCCTCACTTGCCAATTTCAGCGAACCAAAAATGGATGCCAACCTCGTCGCAACCACTATCTTCCGCTACAGCTATATGATTCCCAGTCAATCGCTTTCTTTGGCAATTCGTGGGTGGGCGTGCTCCCAGGCTAAACTCTATCACGGATTAGTAACGAGACGTGACTGGACTTGGTGCGTCTATCAACACACAATTCATTTCAATTGCATTTAAGCGTGCACTCAGGTTCGACGCTGAAATTCCAAGGCTCCGTGAGTTGACTGACGTAGAGCAGGTGACATAGCATTCGAGGTCTGCTAGAGTCAATTGTTTGGTGGATGAAGTAGGCCGGCACCGTCGTTTCATCTGATCCTCCGTTTGTCAAAACTCGTTGTCCCACATGCATCGCGCATATATAGGTTAGTATTACTTACAAATACGGACTGACTGGGAGAGCACAGCATCTCCGGGTCCACCAGGTGATTCCAGTACTGTTGGTATGTGCACATTGTAACCACAAGAATTATACACGGTTGAGATACATGTGTTGCCATCCCTTTAGAAAGTACAAAAGCCAATGCAAAAACCGAGCCATTGGAATTCACACCATATCATAACTCATCGATGCGTCCACTGTCACACAATGCCTGCTGAGTGTGATTTCGACGTACGAACAAGCGCATCGACGCCACATTCGGCATTTTTCTTCTTCGCATGCGACTCCTGGGCCATGGAACAATAATATTGTATACTTCCACCTCCCATCTTCATTGTTCACAGGTAATTCTCGTGTGCCACAATATATTGTTCACTGTTGCTTGGCTCATACTCAAGCCATCCTTGCTTTGTCCATTCTTGCATGGACCCTGCTCCATTCTACAGTTCCACGCTTTGGTTTCGCATATATAACCTTCATGAGCTCCCTGATACCGACATCAGACCTTCCTCATCTGCCGGAATCAAACCTTCCTCATCTACCTTGATCAGATATGTTCGTTCCTCCCCGCCAAACAGTTCGCCTTCCAAAGCTGCCTTTGGAAAATTTTGAGGCGTTCTTTGCTGACCGCCTGTCCTGGGTTACAGGATATGACGTCGAAAAACATGTAAGCATGTTGCGTGTTTTTACTGATCTTCAAACTGACCTTGGCGTCCAGGCATGGATTAAATCCGAGGATTACGATGAATCTACTTACGATGAACACGCGTGGAGCAAGCTGGTTAAGGACCAACAGACTAAGGTACGGGCGGGAGTGACTTTGGATCATTGTCTCGCAAGCTAATGCATTTTTTGCAGGATCTCATCCAGTCCGTATTGGACACCATTGAATGTTTTTATTGGAGTTCAGAAGTTGGGGAAGGCATGGTGTGTTTCGAAACAACATTCCTGCATCACTCTTGTTTACCTTTACCATTTTTAGAATATCCTGCTGAAAGGAGCCCCAGGAACGGGCAAAAAGACGGTTGCTCATGCGGTCTGCAACAGACTCAAGCGTCCGATGCTCACAATTCGGACCAATGATATCCCACCCCTTGCCGATGTGCGACCTTGGGCCGCCAAACTAGCATCGGTACGTGCTATTCACTGGCCGTGATAAGTCTCTGACGCGACGTGGTACTTGCTTAGCTTGCGATCAAGTGGAAATCGGTGATTGTCGTAGAACGTGGGGATGTACGTATTGTCTTTCAAAGTGTTTGCCATATACTTTCTAAACACACGGCCCACAGTATTTCATTGCGCTTCAAGTATGTTGTTGATCGTTGTACCTGTTAATGATGTACTAGTATAGCTGATTCTTCGTCAGGAACGCCTCAACACGATGATTCGAGAATTTAAATCATCCGAATGTATCTGTCTGTGGCCTTCGGTATTGTCGCCCGATCAGCAGGCACTACTTGGCCCGTTCGCGGCCAGTGCGTACCATAACTATCTGACCCGACCATATCACTAACTTTTCCCTGTTGCAGCCATTGAATTCCCCGATCTTGATCAGCCAGCCCGTCGCCATCGTTGGCTACTAGTTTTTGGCCGAGGTGACCTAGCGGAAACTATCTCTAGAGGCGAGCATGCATCGGTCCCTACCGTGAGGGACCCAGAGACGCAGACCTTCCTTCGGGAGATTGAGAAAATCTCTTGGTACGAACTCGATGGTAATGTCATGTCTGACACTGGATGACCTGACACAAGTGCTAATGTGGTGCTAATAGGACTCCAGATCAAAAATTACTTGGATACCGCGCGAAGTTTTCCTGGGTAAGTTGGTTGACATTATAAAGCTGTTCCTGACGACTAATCAGTGCTACACAGGAGGCAAAATCTCACCCCTCAGGACATGAAGGAGTATCTCAAGGCGTGGAATGTGCCTCTTTCTGTACGCCACAAAGTGTCGCGGTTTTTTGCGCTTCGCGACATGCCATCCAACTCAGGGAGTGACTAGTGAACGTTCAAGTTTCGAAGGACACGGTGAAGACATCCGATGTGCCTGTTTGAATATGTTCTTGCTGGTTTGTACTACGTATATATGTGTTTATGCATCATGAGATTATGGTCTTAACTATTTACTTAGCATTGTATCATATATGAAACAAGCGGTCCGTTCACCTTCGGACATTTTCTACTGTGAATTACAACCAGATATGCCTGTACACTACGCTCTCCGTTGTTTTTTCCTCTTCATTCTGTGTTGCAAACAGCATCGCACCACTCTACAAACGCTCCGTGCTTATATATGTTAGATAATAATTGCTCTCTGCGCTTTATGCTGGAGAGCGAATCTTAATCAGCCCTCCTGTGGTGCCGGAAACTACGTACTAGATGCACGATAGCCTCCACATCAACTTGAACGCGTTGGGTGTCGCATAAACTGCGGGATGTTCCAGAAAGAACGTATACCCGAGTCGTGGCTCCCCCAGGTGGCACGAATAACCGATAGTCTATTTTGAAGAACGGTTCGTGCTTTCTAGCTTGCGCTTCGAGAAAGTGAACTTGCAAGGCGCTTTCATCACTTGGTAGTCGGACGCACTACATTGTCATGAACTCCCCATGGGAGCCTATATCTGCAGACGTTCATTCATATAAATCAAACAACTCAAATTTCCCGCAGTACATATCATAGGACATATCTTAGCACAAATAGGAACAGAATCAATCGAGTAACTGGATAGTAAAGAATAATACCCATTCAAGGTACGTACCACGATACAGATCATAGCTCCCCCACTTATGGTAGGAATCAGGAAATAAACTCATCACGAACCCACCGACTCCCCCGCAAGTCTCACCAAGTCCCAAAAATCACGTCCGACGAATAAACTCGCAGGCCTTCCATCAATATACTCCAGAGCTTTGTTCATCAACGCATCCAACAAATCCTGTTGCGCACCCAGATGATGCTTCAGGTACGCAACAACAACTGCAGTCGCCCATACATTCGCATCGACCTGCAGTTCTGTTGCTTTGGCCAATGTATCAATGCCCACAAGCGCCCCCAATTGAGGCGACGGCGTGAAAGAACCGTCGAAGTTCTGTAGCGAGATGATGGCGTACGCTTCCTTTGGCACGGGTGCTGCAATACGTGGAGGTGCTGCATGATGTACCTGTGGCGTGACATTCAAGACTGGCGATGGTACACGCTGGATTGGGTCTTCTGGGGGAGGTGCAGGACTGGACGGCCGAGAGTAGGACCATCGAGAACTCGCGTAAGAACCTTCTAATGAGCTTAATGTAGAGAAAGTGTCCGTGCTTGAGTTGTCATGTCGATATGAATATTCACTCCGAATGGATGGCGAGCCCGAGCGGGATTGTGCAGCAGAATAATACGCGCCGGGAAGCTGCGTCTGACGTCTTCGAGGTGCGGGGGGAGGATCAGAAAAGAAGAAGTTGAACACCGAATAAACCGCTTGAGACAAGCTGTCCAAAACGGTCTGCACAGTGGACACATCTGTTCTTGAAGTATCCTCATCAACAGGATCAGCAGGAGCACCAGTGTGGCTATGCTGCCGCCGAGACTTTGCCCATGACATTGACCGGCGCAGCCTCCTTGTTGTCTCTTTTCCGGACTCTTCAGCAAAAAAGGATGTGTACTTGCTAACAAGCTGGTAATCAAGCCCTAAGCGAACGATCGCTGCTTTTCGAATGTCCTCATCCGAAGCAGGTGCGATGGGTTTGGGAAGGGGAGCCCTAAGCTCTACCAAGTCCTTCACGAGTTGTCGTGCAGCTAAGGTATGGAGGAGCGGAATGAGCGACCACTCGTCCTTGAATGGTTTCACCTCCGTGACAGGCACGAGAGCGTCGAGAACCTCTCCTGATTCTTTGATTTTCGCAAGCAACCTGACTTCGCGAGGAACCGAACTGAAAGTAGTGATCGCAAAGACGTTGAGGCGCATTCCAGGGAATATACTTGTGATTGTGGGCGGCCCTTGCTGCATCGAAGGAGGAGGTTCTAGCTGCACAACGCTGGGCGGAAGCGGATGGTGGTGATTCAAGGGTGAAAAATTGACAGCTGGCGGGCTCCCCGAACCATGCCAATCAACTGTGACACTCTCGATCTCACGTGTCCGACCAGCGTTGAGAAGCATTGCACATTTCCCTGTGATGTCCTCGGCTTGGACAGCAAACAGACATTTGCCTCCGCCCTCACGAGCAAGGCGCTCACACAAATCAGATGAGACTTGTTCACCGATCCCAAGAGTAAATACCCTCAGTTGTGCATTGGCCTTGCAGCCTTTCACAGCTCTAGAGACAACCGTGAATGGGTCAAGACTTGCGGAAGCCTAGTTTATCGTCAGATCAAAAAGTTATAGCCAAGTCATCACACGCACATGTATATCGCCATCAGTGAGAACAAACATAGCAGTCGGGCGGGCGCAGTTACGTGACGCGATAGCAAACTTAAGGGCCTCCGCAATTTCTGTCCCTCCGTAATTTGCTTCCATGCCTTGTACACTCGAAATCTGTGCATCTCACTCATTAGCTAGTTGCTCTAGACAGTGACAAAACTTACTTACCGCACTACGCATTCCCGCCTCATTAAACGATACGCTTTTCCTCCACAGACCGTCCACTGTACTTCCAAAGCTGAAAATATTGAAAGTCGTCTGTGAACCTGGCAAAAGGTGAAGGAGCATTTCCAGCGTGCGCTTAGCTGTTTCCATCGGGGCTCCACTCATGCTTCCGCTCCGATCGATCACGAAGATGTACTCTTGCGAATCCAGGGGAGGAATTTTGAACTTCGGTACAAAGGAGAGCTGCATAGCAATGGTATTACGACCCTGGGGATCGACTTCAGCGAAACACCGAGGCTTATCGAGTCCAAGAGCATGGACTGTCAATACGAAGTCTTTGTCGAGGAACGTCGTGGACGACCAAGTTACATACATCCGTCGTTCGGACTTTTTTCCGGTGCGCGACTTGTAATGTTTGCGAGCAATCGTCGGGTGAGTAGGACTGCGTATCTCCTGTATCTTTTCACTGGTTATGATGTCCACGGCGATTTTGATGAACGTGTTTTCATTAGTTGTAGACGCATCGAGCATAGCTGCTGGGGTCTCGCCGTATCGTTCGGCAATAGTCATCGGAAGCTGTAGACGGACTTGGTCCCGTCTGCCCTCATCCAAAAGATCCATTACAAACTGTTCGCTCATCAGAAAAAGTATTCAATAAAGAGAGTGCACTCACTGTCAATCTTGCCGTGACCTTCTGTCGAGCGGGAATTGAGCCAATTGAGATCGTGAATACTGGAGTAAAGTCAAAGTCAGTGCTCATCCAGTATCATCGAAATGTGCGAGTCATACTGTCGTCTGTCACCCATTCTACAAGTCCTGCGGTCCTTCCAGCATCCATTGCACTCTGGAAAGCTTGTGCGGCTTCTGACTTTTCCTTGGCGACACCGACAATAACACGGCCATCGGCATGCTCGAGCTCAAAAGCACAAGCGGCAGCGCTCGCTGGAAGAGGGAATACATATTTGGCCCGGCTGGTAGGGCTATCTGATACGTTCTCAAACACTTGCGAGAGCACAACCCTCGCAGAGACTAGTATGAGGAAAGTGGCGTGCTGATTAGTGACTTTCGCCTGCACAGCGATGGAAATGCGCACTATCGACCATCCATACTTTCACATCGACCTCTTGAAGCGGCAAATGCAAAAGGCCTTCGTCCGGAGAGTGATGAATAATTCCTGCGTATCTGCTCATACTGAAGTGTCGAGATAAGGTGGAGATAAGGCCCGTAGTGGATCCTTGGTTCGTTTTATAAATATTGGAGTTTGACGCCCGGGCTTCCTGTGTTGCAACTCATGATCCTTTGGAAGCGTAAACAGGAATATCTCAGGCTGTGATATGCTGCAGCTTTGTTGTATTCGATTCCTGTACATGACGAACTGCCAGTTCCAAGAACTTCTTCCAGGGAAAGTCGAGGACTGAATGAAGTATTGAATCCGATTTGATACTGCCGAATTAGATATTGCAGCGTGGCATCCGAATCTCAAATAGATCCGTCAGCAGCGGATCCGATGAACTTTGGAACTTGGAAGGACCACTGGCGATATAATCGCTTCCTCTTAAACCATTACCACGTTCCAGGTCGCGATGATACTGGTGCGGAACAATCCCAAGGGATAAAAGCTCATCGCTCTGTGCACCAGCAACTTCCTGTATCATCCACTTTCCCTTCACAGTTTTGGTGGCGTGTCACCCTCTAGCAGCACCGTGACCAAATCTTCTTCTCTCTTCATGGTCAAGTGATAGTTTATCATTCTCGTACATGCGAAGAACCAGTCACTCTAATATGAGACAACGACAACATATACGCAATCAGTGAGGCCACCTTTTGGTGTCACAAGTCTCAACATTTCATTAGAATCCCTGGCACTGTCGAACAAACTCGAAATGCACTTCAAGAGAATACAAAAACACTGCAGCTTTGTACGATGATTTCGGATCTACCCATGGCATGGAATGTTAGTTACAATGTCGGAGTTCCCAATTCGGCGAGTTTGAAAGTTGTCTGCAATAGATGCTTTAAATCAGTCAAAGTGCATAGACCCTCACAACGTTCTCCCGCTGTTGTTCATCCCGTGGCAGACTATTATGCACGCCGCAGCCTAGTCATCTGGACAATCGATACGTCGCGGCTTTTGTGTGTCATCACTGATCAGTCGGGTGAAAGTGCCGTTCTGAATTTCCTGCATCTTCCAAAGTCATTTACAAACATGATTTCTGTGGCACAAAGACTTACGTCCCAATGTACATCCCGTTTCCAGTGAAACACCGAGGAAATAAGTAACATCAGTCCCACTGCAGTAGGGTGAATTGATTCTCGGCTAGCAGTGGTGTCTTTGAGGCTCCAGCAGCACGTACGTCATGTTGCACAGCGTAAGACATTAGTTCAACATCCGGAACTATAGTAAAGGCCCTGTATGAGCGACCACAACATAACCAAAGGAAAGACACACCGCAGCAAGATGTACCTCCGAAACAACTTTTCGGCACGAGGTTGGTCCCCACAATGTTATGATGTCATTCCAAGGTATCAGAGCCGTCGATCTGAATAGTCGTGAACTGTGACCGAGTTACATCAACTTCACCCAGAGCTTAACAGCTTTGCAACTGCCAGCGAAACGGCTTGACTTCCAACCGTCACGGGCCTTCGAGGGGCACAATTTGTCCTGAGACCATAAGTTTGAACGTCATCTGATCGGCTGCTCCCAGAAGTGGCAATAGATCATCGCATTGCCGTCGGAGGTTGATCAGACATAACTTTCCTTGTGACCGACGAAATTCACATTGTGATACACGGCATACGAATTGCGCCTTGAAACCGGCGAGAAGACTGGTCTTGTGGCCCGATTCCAGGAGGGATGCAAAAGACTGATGATCAACGCGCAAGTCCGCACTGCTTGAGACAACTTTAAACCACTACCAGCGCGACGCATCTGCCGTAGTGAAGTACAGGTTATACACCAGTGTATGATAACCTGTCACTTGCCTGCCGAGCAAAGCTCTCAGCGAAGGTTCATGACTCCGAGGCACAATAGGTAGAATTCTGAAAGTAAGAAAGGTCAATGATTCTATGGGACACTCAACGGCACTAAGGAAGGGCCACATCATCGAGGATACGGCGTCAATCACAAATCGACTAGTGACACTCGATAACCTGAGGAGAATTTTCGAACTAACATCACCGTCTTATCATAAAGATGGTGGGCTCTAAAACATTTTGGTGCTAGCCGCGGTAAATTCGATGTGGATAGCTGATGTGAAAACGCACGATTTCCAGAACAGAAGAAACTGAACTTCACACTGCATTATCCCGACTCTGAGCAAACTGCTTTAGCACAGGTGCAAATTGCGCTGGATAACTATCTCGATGAATAGCCATAACGCCTTTTTGAGACTGCCAAAGTGATTGTGCGTCATAGTCGGGGATAAACTGAATGCCTCCAGCCCGTCCCATTGAGAGCATGGACTCCGTGCACAAAAAGAAGTTGTTCTGATCCCAGAATCATGATGCACTGTGGGTAAGCCTCAGTCAGCCGGTAGTAGTCACCACTAAAACAGTTTCGGAATAGATTGACTTAAGCCCGAAAGTATTAGATCTGTTTCAGCCTGCATATTTATTTTACGGCGAGCAGCCTTGGCGAGAAAGACGATAATATTGGCTAGGAGATATGATGAGACTGACCGAGACTTGTGAACAGCCGGTTGTGGCTTGATGTGTGACCGTTATTACCCACGTGGCTGAGTGCAAGTGATGAGGAGGCGAAACCGCTTGTTTAGCTCATTCACCATTCCCTTCCGCTATTTCTCATCGTCATGCATGCTGCCCCTCCATCTCTCCCGTCACAAACCACCTTAACATTAACATATTCACCGGAGGCCCTCTGAATTGTAATTTTTGGCAACAGTGTCTGGAGTATCGAGCGGGGATCAGGGTAACGTCTCCTTGGCTTGGGAATCGTGCAATGGCGGACCTGACAAGTGTCTGTAGCTATGATTGACCCACAATGTTCTGAAAGGCTCCCAAGTTAACAGGGTGCTCTGTTGGGTATATTGGTTCACCGCAATCGGCATCCGATGAGTGCGATGGGAGCAGAGTCGGCAGCGAGTATGGTGACGACCTCAATGTCAATCCCACATTGCGATAGTGGCTGCAGTGTCTCGTATTTGCTGTCATTGCCTATATCTACCGTTTTTTTTACATTTTGTGTACGTGCAGCGTTGCCCTTGTTTGTGAGTCAGCTCCACGCGTCCTCGTGCTCATCCGGAATGTACAGCATTCTTATATTTTGTTGGTGATCCTTGCAGGAAACATGCATACACATCATTCAATCGGTCTTTGCTTTTGTTCGCTGCCATCTGACGGGCGACTTCAAGCTGGGCTCCCACTATTCGCAGAACTTGCATGTTGCCGGTCGTTGGCATGTCGGTAGTCGATCAAGGTCGTAGACGGGAGCGTTTTGGAGCGCATACATCCTCGTTTTACCTGACTGTTGCATGTGCACCTTTGTTGAGACTTGGAAATAGGTGCGACCCGTATATCCTGGTTGCACATGCCATTTCAGCTGATTTTCTGATGCAGGATACTCTTTCTATGTTCGTTGCCAACGATAACTCATTGGATGAATGTCGTTGCTCATTCATTACAATTTAAAGAATCATCAATGTATTTCTTTCTTGGCTGCGTAATAAAGGTGTGCATCTCCAGTACTTCTCACAAAGAATTTCATCTGATAAGACTCTTGTTCCCCCACCATCTCTCATGCCCTAACTACGAATTCCAGCATATATATAATAGCTAGATGATATTCTGGCAGCCTTCATACTGACGTAGCTAGTGTATTAGTCCTGAGGCGCTGCAGTGAGATTATTTGGTTAGGACAAACACCGGGGAAACCCTTGGTATTTGTCAGATTTTTATTGTTTTATCTCGGGCCGAGGACTTTTTCGGCAAATTTCCGACCACGCCGCCGCTGCCACCGACGACGACGAGGAGCTTAACTAGTAGAAGCCAGTCTCCCTTGAACTTATCTTCATCCTGCCACGTCTCCATGTCATGCCCCGCAACCCGAATCTGGGTACCTCGACCCTTCGAAATCGCAATCGAGTTACCAACAAGACACGCCTTAAGGTCATCCAAGGTAGCATCGATGCAGACCCTCTCGTGCTGGACGAGGACGAGGAAAAGGCCAGGATCATTAGCACTGCTGGCGTGGACGCAGAGGACGCCAATGTGAGTCATTTTCCCTCTCGTCGTCGCTTTCAATGCCCTTGTTGAACAGGCTGACGTGTCTGTTTCTCATTGGCTGGTGGTCGTGGGAAATCTCTTATCGATGGCTGACTCATATGTCCGCTTAGGAGCATCACTTGCAGGCGGTGCTGTCTGCCGCGTCCCACAGACACCAATCGGTGGGTCGCTCAACACGTGGGGAGAAGGCCGTCGCACCCGCCGCATATATTCCCACACCAGACTCCACCGGTATCGTCGACAACTATGACGAGTTATATCCTTCCCAGCGTTGGGAAGACCCAGGCGCATACATCAGATCCTCAGAGACTGTCGATGAGGCAGTCACAAACGCGCTCATCGATTTGTTCACGTACTATATGGATGAACGTGATAAGGAGTGGCTCGACAGAAACAACGAGGAGGCGCGTGGTGAAGGCACGAGTGCCCAGGGTGCTCTTTCAGCCTCTGGCGCAACCACTCGCTCTGGTCTGTCCCAACGAAGTGCCAAGGCGAAAGGCAAGGAGCCCGAGCCGACACAACCTCTTGCTATCACGGAAGACGAGTTCGAACTTGTAATGGGCATCTTTGAGAAGGTCACCCATGACACGACGGAGTTTTTGCACCATGCAAGTTTATTTACCTAACAATCACAATGCAGCGCTGATTCGTGTCACAGGGCCTCGAGTCCGGCATGGCATTTCCTCCGTTTACGGACTATCAAGAAGCATTTTCCTCTCCATTACCTCCCTCTATGTTTGCCACATTTACAGTGCCGACGTGGATACCGCAACCTGCTCTACTACTACGCTTGGCAAAAGTCATTTATCCTTATTGGCGTGATCGCCGCATCGAGAGAAAAGGCCACCGAATTATACCCAGTTTGAATGTGAGTATATCTATGTGTGTATGATTCGAATAAGGTTGTTTAAACTACTTATTAGTTCGATGAGTCGGACGTGCTCAATGAGTCTTACATTTGCTTCCGCCGTCGCGAGATCAAGGCTGTTCGAAAAACCCGTGCTTCGCAGGCCACATCATCCGATAAGCTTTTGCGGTTGCAGAACGAGTTGACGCAGGGTCTAGAGCTCGCTAAAACG